TTTACCGTTACGCGACCGCGATATTCTTTTGACGTTCATCAAAGAATCAAGCTAGATTTCGTGTCTCATCTACAAGGTGTTGCACACTGAGCCTTCAATTTTGCTATGACATTGTCCAGGGGTGCAGAGAGCGAAAGTGAGTGTAACCCCTGGAGTATCGAAGATGGTCAATACCCTAAGACATGTATTTTATCATTATAACTGTGTTTGCGCTTGCTTAACTTAGCTTATCTACAGGTTACTCATGGCATTACAACTACTAATGTCTAGCTTATATCCAAACAGGTCTTGTTATCTTACGTCGTGTCAAGTTTTATGAGCCGAGACCCTTTGGTCTATATGTCTCTGATAAAAAACATATTGAACAGTGATAATTGCAACAAAACCATGTTAAATTGTTGCAAATCTCATTGCACGGCCATTAGACCTTAGCTTATTATGTGAAATGAAAAATATCAAACATATCGCCATATCTATCAGGCATTCGGGGTGTGACACATATAAGTGTCACATCATAACTTTTGATCGGATATATAAGAGTTACTTCCCCTTTATTGCATTGAGTACAAGAGTGTTTCCGTAATTGTATCGTTGCAATGCAGTATATTGTCCTCGTCAAACTAGCAATATAATATTTTGAAATTAAAATCATTTATAGCGTTAATGGTGTTTACTTTTTATATTAACTGGTATCAATACATATATGTATTCATTATACAGAAAGATGGCGATATTAACGTTTCTACTGTTATTGCTTTATCGCAATGATTTCAAGATTCTATATATACTGTACCAACTATTATATAACCCTCATTCGTTATATGGTCAAGTTCCTTCCATTGTTGGGCAAATGATGGCAGTATAACGAAATTTTATTTTACTAGGAATGAAAACAAAAAATGATAATATCGTCATTCAAGTCACAACGCGTTTATCGTCATCCAAATCACCATGCTTACAGAGTAATATACAAAATTATCTCCCCTTACGTCACAGAATCTTACTTACCAAAATCATATACACCCATACCAAACAGAGGCTATAGGAAACACGTATTCGGTAAGTCCGGTTGTATTGTAGCTTTCGAAACACGTTTCCACAACGGTTTAGGAATTTTGGCTTAGGCTCCTTGGCAATAGGGGTCACTTTAGGTCCTTCGGCATCGATTCGGAAGCTTTTACCGAAGGTACTCTTTCTTGTGAGTGACCGGATGTCCCGTTTATATCCCGAGCGGTCGCAGGATGTATCACTAAGGATGACGGACCCTCGAGAGCGCCTCCAACTCATTGTCAATTAGCTAGCTTGCACTTTTAAATGTCACATAAACAATAACGTTATGGTAAGAGACAGTTCAGGATAGTCTGGGTGTCTTTTGTATTCCTCTTCATGCCATACTTTCATTATACATTCTGTTATTTCGAATAAAAAGATGTTATTGAATCTATTGAACAGTTTCGTGCAAAGCAATCCGGGTATATCCAAACGAAGATATAAGTTGATGAAGAATTCAAATAATTTTGTCAGTTGTTAAACTCTGCCCGTGCTATCGTTCAACACGGTGCTTTTCTCTGCAACTCCGGATGAAAATATACAACACTGAAATGTTCGATTGTTCCGAAACCCAAGCACAGATTGGCAAACGATAGATTATCCAGTGTGTAATTGTCAGGTTTTTACTATAAACAGTCCTATGTTATAAGCCGTTCTTCTGTTTACCATTGAATGTGTCCCATTAATTACATGTATCACAGCACAGATACTATACTAAACTAAAAATACACATCTTCACGACTAGAAACACAGGAATGATACCAGTGAAAGGAAACGGATACCGGAAATGACGGTATTGATATCCGGACTTTGCCACAGTAGTTAATTTCTTATTAAAACGTCTTATATGGTATACATTAGAATGTGTAATTCACATATAGTGAACAAAACACGGTGTGAGTGAATATCCGCGAGAAATCGATTGAAAGCTCAGAGGTATAGAAAATATGTATTCGTACGAGTATTAAACGGTATACCTCGACTATGTATGATCCGCAAGCAAACATAAAAATACTTTTGATTGTTTTAATATGTATATGATGCTAAACAGGCATTTATCGAATCTTCCAAATTACTTTGAAAATGTTTGAACCCCTGTGAGGTCCCGGGTGCGTGTACCTTACTAGCCGTCGGCGCAACTTGTGTCAGATAGCTAAACAAAGTCGTGGAAGTAAAAATATGATATTTTAGGCACACCATTTTAGGCACACCATTGTTCAAAGTAACGACTTTCCGTTGCATATTGAAGTTGAAGCGAAGTTCAAAAAAACCCATTTATAAAACTCCTACGGAATGAAGCATCCTATTTTTAAGATTTGCTTTATCGATGTAGAAAACTAAGTATTTACATTATACTGCATATTTTGGCCATATTGTCATATTAGGAATAGTCACTGGCAATATTTTTGTCAACATAACAGAATGCCATATTAACGTGTTCCAAAACATATAATACAACCAAAAGGGAAATGTGTCAATAAATTCCTTAATAACCTATCAAATCTGAAACATATGACTTAATTTATTCTTTTAGTAGAATTTCATGTAAAACCTGCCGGAATGTAAAGCAAAACAAGGTCACGGTCAATACTCTTTTAGTCCATCAGCAGAGTAAACCATCACCTACTGGTAGAAGTACGAACTAAGGGAGATAACTCGATAGTTTCTGTGCAACCGTTTATGAAATACGTTTGCAATATTCTATAAAAAAAAAAACACATCACAAAAATGTCAATTAGAAAAAAATATTTAATGTCACTTAAACCTTTTTATTACAACACTGATCAAAATAATAGTAAAACTGTGTGGCAATATTATATAAATGATCAACCACAAAGATAACTCTTCTGATGCAAAGAAGCACAGGGTGTCACGATTAAAACACAAGTAAGAAAGAGAATGAACGCCGTTTTTTATGACTGTACACGTATGAACGCAAGTGCGTCACATCCCTATGAAAGCAATTTCTATTGAAAATATTGATCTAAATATATGTGAATCATATACATGTCTTTCATTTAATATGTACACACTGAAAATTAATCGGTAAATGTTTACACATGCACAGCAAATAAATCCATGGCATCTATATAAAAACGTATCAACAATATCGTGACTAAAATCATTACTGATACTTTAATCATCTTCAATACACATGTTAACAGTTGTTAAGTTGCTGGGAAAAAAATATAAGAAAAATACATTCAAAGCCATACATTTAGAGGTTTTCGATCATATAAATGGTGTAATATTTTACAGATATCTATTTGTTTTGTAAAACAAGAGCATACAAGCGTAATGATGACATAATCCAATACATAGCTGTGTTGACCACACACACACACAGACACACACCCAACGCACCCACACACACTCACACACACTCACACAACAATCAAATTCAAAATTCATAATAATGCTGTAAAATTGATAAAGACTTATCTAGCTACGATTAATCGACAAGTCAATAATAACACTCTATTAGCTTTTATATTCGACAACATATTGGACATTTACAAGCAAACTGACTTAAAAGTTATCCTCGATACTCCAGGGGATGGGCTCACTTACGCTGTCTGCACCCCTAGAATATGTCATAGCAAAATCGAAGGCTCTATGTGCACAACCTTGTCGATGAAACGAGAATACAAGTTTGATTATTTGATTATTCGGCTGCGTAACGGTAAAATTGACTGGCTTTGAAGTCGGATGTTGTTCCTCTTTAATCTTTAATGAACAGGTCTAGGGATTGGTCAGGTTTTTTAACCTGAGATTAAATCAAATAGATAGCCGCATGCCTTCAATTTTGCTACATGACATAGTCCAGGTGTGCAGAGAACGAAGGTCAGCGTAACCCCAGGAGTATCGAGAATGCCTCACACTTATGCCATGATGGTGGTGAACGTTTTTTCTCGCACCTCAGACAGAGATATACTACGTCATACCCCATGCTAGATTTGTCTATCTCTTCCGATCTGTCTTGTACCTTTACGCACGTGACATTTCGCGGAATTTTTACACTGCGATGCATTCATCCGCGCGTTAACTGCTTGGAATTGACAATCTGCATTATAAATGTTCTGTTTTGTCGGTATATGTAAAGTTTTAATGTTTTTAGATATTTGATGTTGTAGATAAACAATAATCTACACTGTGAAATACCTAATCATTTGACGCCCAAGATGGGATACTTGTAGATTTTAGCACAATTGAATAACTTTTCGAACTAAAAGGTGCGAGAAAAAAAAATCAATTACCTGTAACTGAACAAGATTGGGTTATCTCAGTCTCGGGCTAAGATTAGGTACATGTAACATCCCAACCTCGGCTTACGCCTCGGTTGAGATTTTGTTACAGAATCTTAGCCCTCGACTGAGATAACCCAATCTCGCTTAGTTAAAGGTGATATATTTTATTAATCTCATTTCCACTGTGTATATCTAGTATTAAAAACATGACAGCTTAACAACTGTCACTGTACAACCAGTGTGTGTGTGGGGTTTGTTTTTGTTTTTATTTTTGGGTTTTTTCTCCATATAATTACTTTAAAAATAAGATACATGTTAAAATAACAACTAGCAAAGCACACATGGAATTATAGTTGAAATATCAGTTTTAATGTTACTCAATGTATACAGAAAATTCGTAGTAATACATTGTGAAAATATGATGCACAAGTGCATTATTTCAGCTTAAACTGCAAATCTAACTTACGTGGGTATATCACGAACCGAACATGAGGAAGTCATGTATGTAAATTCATTTTATTTGGTAAGTGTGCTTCTATTTAATATTCTTTTCCTATAAAATACTTGAATGTTGATATTCCGTCTTTGCGTATTGCAGAGTTATCTTCTCTTGTGAGCATGTATTGATTGTTACGTCATCGGTTTGTGTGAGAAAATTACGTTGTTTTCTCAAAAACTGATGACGTTACTCTCACAAACAAATGACGTAACAATCAATACCTGCTCACAAGAGCAGATAATTCTGCAATACGAAAAAACGGAATAGCTAGCCCTAATGATGTGACAAGATCCATCATCAGTTACTGAGTTTTCGCTAACTTTAGTTATCTGTACCCCTGTAATATGGATTGATGGAATCAATGACACTACCATACTATCTTGCGATCGATACAAATAGTCTAGTTTGATCCATTGGTGAACATCAAAAAATCGTGCGAAAACGTAAAGGTAAAATCGATCAGCATGGATGTCGCTTCTCTTCAGATTGGATGTACATGTAGCAGTACTGAATCCTAGATATTATCATTACATATTCGAGGAATTTCAAGAATGTCTCGGATGGTGTTGTATGCAAATTTCGCAATGTATCTTTAAATTTGCATTTACCACATAAAGCTATTTATAGCAAAATTAACATTTCAACATTAATTCTTTAATCGTTAACAATGAATACATTTCATTTGTTGAATACGTCGAAAGGAACAAGTTTCAAATACGCTCTTATGATGAATGTTCGCAAAACATCGTAGAAACAAATCATCAATTTTGTTAACAACATCTCTCACATTTTGTTTATATCTCATTGACATTGAAAAAAAAGTAAACGTAATTGTTTATAATGGGAATTTCAATTAGTGACACCTTGTATTTGTATAAAATCGACATGTTTGCCGCTGTTTAACTTAAACATTTACTCTCTGCAAATTTCTCATAACAGCGAATATTATTGATAAACAATGTAATAAGCATAATTATCAAATGAGGAGAGGTCAGTTGACATTTACTGGCGTAGGGCAGAAGTATGACTTGGCAAAATAGTTTCCCGGTATATATTACAACGACAATATGTGATATTTATAAATATTTAGTGATTTGTAGTACATTTTTAATATAAATGTTCATTGTAACGTACACAAATCTCGTTGTACATCTAATTCTGTGTGTAAGCACCGTTTATATATTCATATGTTCCTCCGTTGCATTCCTCGAGGTGGGGGTACATGTTTTGATTATCTTGTTTCTGTTTATATCCAACTAAGGCTATTGGCGACGGGTCTGGCTTTTTGTCCGGTTTTTCTGTTGTAATGGGGGAAAGGACCACGCCAGGTTCCGAGGGATCCGTATCCTTCTCATCAAGCTCGTCAGCTTTGATATCCTTTAGAGAGAAAAAACATTTACACATTGATAAATAAGTCGTAAATTTTGATATCTTTTCGAAAATAGACATGTCAACATCTTATAATCATTTGGAAAATTAACATATAAAAATCGATTCATTAACTGATATTAATTTGGTTTTATGTCTTAATCAATTACAATATAACTGTGAAAATATTTTATTGAGACTCTTAAATGTATAAACTCAACTCCCATAGCAAGATTTGTGTTTCAATAAGCGAGGAAGTATGCTTAATTTCTTGGTAAAAATCTATTACAGAAATGAAATAAGACTAAATGCCTATAAACATATGTTCCTATACGGAACGCAATAATATTAAGAAACTTCAAAGTCACTCTTTTGCAAGCTTTCGGGATTAGCTTTTCGTCAGGGATTAAATGTCACCGGACCTCTATGTCACATGCATATCAACTTGATGTGACATAGAGGTCCGGTGACATTTAATCCCTGACGAAGGGCTAAGCCAGAAGGCTTGGAAAAGAGTGACTATAAAGTTTCTTAATATTACAGAAATATTAATGAATTATTTTCTGTACACATTGTATATCGATAACCAAGCGTTACTAACGTGTTGAATGTCCAGTTGTTCAAACGCTGATTAGCCTTTGATGTTTTAATAAAATAAAAAATCACGATGGAATATTTCAATCATTCCATCAGAAATATAATTTTCCGTCTCCTTTTTACTGTGTGTTACAATTTGAAATTTCAATAAGGAAAATATCGGTGACAGAAATGGTCATATTTGAAAAACAAATGTCTATTTAATATTTTCGTTAACGTGACGTTAAGTCAACCAAGCTTTTTGATTATGTGTCCAGATTTCCTATATGTCCTTTGTGTTCACATCCGTCAAAACAATACACCGAGTCATGCTTATCATTAGATTTTGTTTAAGTATATACACAGTCACTTGTGAATATAAACTGTACATCTTGTATAGCAAGACTGAAGGATTTTATTATCTAATCAATAAGGGTGTGTCGGACAAATTAAGAATTAAACATGACGATTATACAGACGTGTTTACAACAAATATATCATAAATTAAATAGGTTTCGTTTGATTGGTTTTGTTTTATTTTGGTTAACGTCCTATCAACAGCTAAGATCATTTAAGGACGTGTGTATCGCTTGGCTATGTTCTTATCCAGACAGAAATAGTTGTGGTATAAGTGATATATAAATATATACATGTATGTCATTATAAGATAGATGGGCTGAAGCGCGCTTACGAATATGAATACCTAATACGTGCCACTTGAATCATCTAAATAAAACACCCTTTATCACGTGACAAACTAAATGTTCATGTAAAGGAATTTGAAATGTGTGTAGATAATTAATGTATAATACTAATAAAACATGTTATTTTAAACAATATCATCACCTAACAACACATATCTTTTATTGAGAGTCAGATAACACTGTATTGATAAATCTTAAATAAAGTGATAACATATTATTTCTGGGAAGAAAAGCAGGAAAACGTTCATTCTTTGCTTAATCTAAATATAATAATAACAATTCGAGGTTCTTATATACCGCTTTATTACAACCTAGTCTGTAGGTTCACAAATTATTATCCATGGTTATAGGGCCATTATCTTTTTCAACTCCCTGGTGAGCATACAGTCGATGGTGCAACTTCGGCGCTCACAGCTAGCATACAACAATTCTAGCACTGCCAAACCACGTACTCATTTACAGCTGAGTAGACTGGAACAAGCAGAGTACAGTATCTTGCTCAAAGATACAACACGGTGCCGTGACGTTACTCGAACCCGCAACCCTTCGGTCACGAGCCCAACGTCGTACACAAGACTATCGTGCCTCCATTAATTTGCCTTTAAATGTATCGTACATATATGCTTCAAATTTTATCCTACATCTACACGTTTCTTTCTTAGAGGCTTCAGGTTCTTTTTCGTACCTTATTGACATGCTTCAAATTATCTGCTTGATCTATATGTACCTTATTGACATGCTTCAAATTGTCTGCTTGATCTATATGTACCTTATTGACATGCTTCAAATTATCTGCTTGATCTACACTTACTTTATTAATATGCTTCAAATTTTCGGATTGATCTACATTTACATTATTGACATGCTTCAAAGTCTCTGCTTGATCTACACGTACTTTACTGATATGCTTCAAATTTTCCGATTGATCTACATTTACCTTATTGACATGCTTCAAAGTCTCTGCTTGATCTACATTTACCTTATTGACGTGCTTCAAATTTTCCGATTGATCTACATTTACCTTATTGGCATACTCCAAAGTTTCTGCTTGGTCTACATGTACTTTACTGATATGCTCCAAATTTTGCGATTGATCTACATGTACTTAACTGACATGCTTCAAACTCTCTGCTTGATATACATTTACCTTATTGACATGCTTCAAAATTTCCGATTTATCTACATGTACCTTACAGACTTACTGCAACTTACATGTATCTTTTTGATCTAAAAGAACATCACTGATATGCTTCAAATTTGCTCCTTATTCGACACGTACCTTCGTAACATGCTTCAAATTTGCTGCTTGATCAATGAGAACCTTTCTGACATACTTAACATTCTTTCCGTGATAGTATCATTTAGAATTTAGACATGCAGATGAAATGTATGACCAATTCTTCTATTCTTGTGTTTTCAACCAATTGTCTGCACTTTTACATTATAGGAAACATCTTGATTTATGAAACTCTGGAATTACGTATAAGTGATAAATAAATAGAACGTTTGGGACCTGGAATCTGGAATATGCATTGTACACAGACATGCAGCCTTACTATAAAGTGGTATTCCACTCTGAGAAATATGTAGAAGATATTGAACACGAAATTACAATCTTGTTTTTGTTATATAATCAATGTAATATTTAAAAGGCCATTTATGATTAAAATTAATAAGATAACGACAATAATAGCATCTACAAGGGAACTAACTCTTACACAAAATATCATGTTAGCTAAAAAAAGGTTTGGAGTTGTCTCCCTTTTTATAAATGTAATACTACACTTATAATTATGTTGTCGTTTTTTTTTTTTTTTTTTTTTTTTTTTTTTTTTTTTTTTTTGCTTTGAGTTTTCAGTCATATTAACAGCTATGGTCATATAAGGATGATGCTAGGATATGATGGTGGAGGGTTGCCGGAGTACCCGGTGAAAAACCACCGACCTGCGGCGGGTACCGTTATCGTTGTTATTTCTATGTTTGATGAGTAATTCATATATGTTGGCATGTAACCACAGGTAAGCCTATTCACGTTTACAGGCGAAAACCGTCTGTATAGACAAAACTACTTTTTAGACCGTTACCAATTATAAGAAAACTTCATGTCTCAAAATGTTTTAATGTAAAAGCCAATGAAGTAAAGTTCGTTTCTTACCTACATATACATATAGAACGAAAGTTTTAAGATTAGCGTGATTAAACCACACTTTACTGAAATTCAACCGGAGACATCTAGTTTAAGAACAGGCTATTACTTTATCCTGTATTGGTCTAAGGCTTCATTTAAAACGTTCTAGTTCCACTATTCCGTCTTTTCGTATTGCAGAGTTACTTGCTCTTGTGAGCAGGTATTGATTGTAACGTCATTAGTTTACGTCGATTTCTCAAAAATGTATGACGTTACTCTCACAAACAAATGACGTAACAATTGATACCTGATCACAAGAGAAGATAACTCTGCAATACGAAAAGACGGAATACCAAAACCATAACTTTGATTGTGAAATTAACATTCCGGAAATATGAATTTTAGCGACAAATGTGACACTTTCACTAAGTGAATCATACGATTAATCGAGAATTATTCATAGTCAATGATAAATATGAACTGGAATTCGAGTATCGTATACCTTTAACATTGATTTATTAAAATTATTTTCAGGAATTTCCCATGTAATATTTTAAGTGTTGAATTGTTTACAAGTGGAATAATATAAGACTCTTTCATGCTCAGGGTGTAGGAATGGGAAATTCCACCCGAGGTGTTTTCAAATAGCCCGAGGTTGTGCCGAGGGTTTGGCCAAATTTGAAAATCCCGAGAAACCTATTATTCTTCTATTCTCTGACATTAATTTAAACTTTTTTAATACTAATTATAGTGATTTTGAATATACACAAACATGATATAAAGTTATTTGTAAAGAAGCCAGAAATATATGATAAATAGTAAACAATAAATTGAGATAGAGAAATTCTAAGCAATGCCTATGACTTCTTACCTCTGGATCTGGAAATTCCATATTACATCGTAATTTTCTTAACAAGGAATTCGGCAGACAACAGAATATCCGGTCGAAAAATGGAATCAGATACTTTGGATCAATGTCATGTGTGCCATTAGCTCCTGCAACGAAAATGTGAAAGGTTAAATAACGACAGAACGTAAACATAGAAATTACATAAAAAAGCAACAACAAGAGGAAGGGGGGACACCAAAACAAAAGAAAAGGGGAGTCATTATGTAGACTTTAACAGACACCAAAACAAAAGGGGGTTAACATCAGGACATAGGAGGCAAAAAAAAAAATACCACCATTTTACGACAAATGGGAGAACATATAGTACAGTACATAAAGAGATAGACAAATTATATCTCAAGTTCAACCCTCCAATACAATGATAATGTTCGCAAAAAAGTAGTTTTTTTTCAGTTTTCAAGACATTATTTCGTTATTGTTGTGAATTTCAATACCTAAACAAGTGTGAGAGAAGATATACCAAAGTTTTCATTTTCATAATTTCATAATTTCATGACTTGGCGATAACATTAGCATGAAGTGAGAATGGTGTCAATAGTTATAATACTTCGTTCACACATTGAGAAACGAAACTTCTGTGTTATATACAATGTACGCTTGCTTTGTGTATGGAGAAAGGTAGACCATAAATAGATCAATTTAGTATATTAGATGACATGTTGTCTCCTTACCTGTGCAGAAACTGACAATGAGGCCAATGACGACGACTGTAGCGGCCCCTATCGATGGATACCAAAGATACGAAACAGTGTAAAGCTTACTGATGCCAGTTCTGAAAAAGAAAAGAAATTATTGATACCACAGCTACATGTATGCGGTCAGCTCGATGTAATATGTACATAGATATTACATGTTTATCAAGACGGCTAGTCAATACACTACGACACAACGTAAACACAAATAATACAGGAACAGGAACGGTGGATGTAAACACAATATGAAGAATTTGGAGAGACAGCAAAACCAAAGGGAAGACAACATCGGGAACAGAAGAGACATAACTAGATAACATAATGTATGTTACGGAGGACAAGAAGAAACGAAACGAAGTGTTAAAATACAAATGTTAATGTTACTTACATCGAAAAAAGTATATATCGCAACAAGAACATCTATACAAATTCTTAATACTCTTTTGTTACTCTTTGAATCGGTAATTTGATACTGGACAGTATCTCCTGAAGCATTTGTTATTGAAAGGGTATACATATTGAAAATTGCAAATATAAATGGTTACGTTACCTATAAATTCTTCGAACCTTGTCGTTTTCTTAATAATAATGTCAGTATCTTTAACTAAACAGGTTATTAATTATTGTTTACAAATGCTTCATGATGACTGGTCAAAACAAATCAAATAGTTTTCACTGTTAATGACAGCGGGTTAATTGTTTCTTAGAATTGTCTCCCATTTTACCTGTTTACTTCCGTTTTAACAATTCAAGATGTTTACCTGTCTCCGGTGAGATTATGAGATATAAAGCATGGGAAAAGAAACAATTTTTTGATATCACTGAACTATAAAAAATATAACGTCACAGTCAGATTTTGACAATAGAGGTCATGATAAAATCAGAATAAAAAACACAGATTACAAATGTTAATTTCAATTGACTTCAAACATTATTGATAAGATCGAGACAAAATCACCCCTTACAGTGACGGTAAGCAAGAAAATAATTTACCCTTGTGGACAAATTATTTATCTGGACTTGACCGTAGCTTGACCAGGGCTTAATCTTGGCTTAGGTTTGTTCTCGGGATAGACAATCAATAATTTTGGCCCTTGGTTTGTGGTTCTCTGTCAAACCCTCGGGATAGAGAAAACATCTATTGTTTCTATATTAAGCTGCTATGCTCGTGTACCTACATTTCGTCTACGACTGGTGCAAGTGTCGTTGCGGAAATGTTCACAAGCGTTGTGGCGTTGAAAGCGCCCTCTACCGTACAGTTGTCGGTGGGAAACGGAAGGTTAGATGTCGTTCCTACGACACTGTACGCCCCGATACTGATCCACATGGGTAGCACCAGGCCAAATACACTACCAACTACAGCTCCCTGGCAAACAAACACTTACAATTGTATAGTTACATCAAAACATTACAATAAATAGATAACTTAAAATATATATAAATAAATATATACTAAAAGTGAATGATAAATTGAAGACAAGGTAATGTTATATTTCTACTTACTCCTATTGTACATTTTATCGTTCTTTGTGGGGGGGTTTATACCAGGAAATTTTCGCCGTAGTTTAACTTTCGGCTTTTTCGCCGTCCGTAATGAGGGCGAGTTTATAATGATAATAATTCGAGGTTCTTATATACCGCTTTATCACAACCAAGTGCGTAGGTCGTCTCAAAGCGTTTCACAAATTATCATCCGTGGTTATAGGGCCTTTTGCAACCGGCCATTACCTTTCTCATCTCCCTGGGGAGCATACAGCCGAAGCTGCCATTTCGACGCTAACAGCTAGCATTCAACAATTCTAGCTCTGTCCAATCATGACAGTTTATATGTACACTTCACTAACACGGACTATACATGTAACAATGAAGGACGAAAAGTTGTCCTGTCTTACAACGCTTCACTGCGACGGACTATATACATGTACCCTCACTAGTTCATGGGAACAGTAGCTTTCCGCCATGTTTTTGTTTGTGTTTTGTTTACCGCATGGGGCTTTGTATATTTTCGTTGCAAATACAAAATCAACATTCTGAACGGAACATTCCAAATATAAGAAAAAAACTTAAAACTCAACTATATGTGTTATCAGCTAATTCTACATAAGCCAAAACCAAAGTACTTCGATCATGGTAGTGTCGTTCCGCACAGTGCAAAGTAGTCCCGATTTTCTTTTTGAACAGTTTTAAATGCAATGAAAATATTCATGATAAAAAAGAACATTTCCATCTCAAATTAATTTAATAGCAAAGAATATTAAAAGATTTCAGAAAAATGCAATTACAGTTACAGCTAGTTCAGAAGATCAATTTTAGATTTTAGCGTCTCCCTGAAGAAAGCAGAAGATGTATAATTCCCGTACCTGAATGTACCTGACATTTCTTTTGAGCTACAAATGGCCTATTTCTAAATGTATTTTTTTTGGAAATCTACACTTTTTTAATGTGATCTATACATGTGTAATAAGAGATGACGTCAGTATGTCAAGACAGTACTTACAATCCAGTTTGCCCAAGGAAAAAAGGCACCAAGTACAAAGATCCCGAGAAGAGGGCCAGACGCAGCACCGGTAAAACTTAGGGACGCCTGTTAAGTATGAAATTGATGCTTTAATTGCAGCTAGTGAGAATGACGAATGAAAATTAGTTTACAATACCATATCGTCATCACTTTAAAACTGTCCACCCTAGTCGAATGTGAAGTTCCCGTATATCACTATACCGTTTTTTTTCGATCCAACTCCATTCGTATACTGACATTAATTATAAAATAAAAATAACAAAAATAAACTCGTTTATAATTTTACAGTAAATCTCCTATTGAACACACTCGTTGATAAGAGTACTGTAAAACCATAATAAACGCGCCTCTTGTTTCATTTAACAGAAAAAATACCTCGATATATTGCCCTTTTCATTATACTGTTAGATGTCCCCGATTTATTAATCTGCAATAATATATCGTTACAATGCCCCCCGTTTATCACTCTGCAATACAATCTCGATACAATGTCACCTCGTATATCCGTCTGAAATACAGATCTTGGGTTACAATGTCTTTCATTTTTATCTTAATAGTAAAAACCTCAATAAGGTGTCCTCTTATTATCACAAGGCAGTGGCATTTCAATAGAATGGACGAAGTGTGTATAACTAAGCAGTTGTACCTAGATACAATCTCCCTCGTTCATCAGTTTGCATGCTACTCCTCTCGATTGTCAAAGTGGAGTCAAAGTTCGATACATCGCCCCTCATATAAAGTAAGCCTTCGATATAATGCCTTCGTTCATCAGTATACAGTAAACAATCGCTTTAATCTCGTTTATCTATTGACAGTTAAGCCTCGATATAATATCCCCGTTCATTACCCGTTCACTTAAGTAACACTACGATACAATGTCCTTCGTTAATTACTCTACAGTTAAGCCTCGATACAATGCCTCCCATTCAACACTTTACTGGAAAATGTCTATATGATGCCACCATGTATCGCTTAACAGTTAAATATCTATACAATGCCCGAATTTATCACATAACAGCTAAACCCCGATACAATGCCGTTTCACTTTACAGTAAAATATCGATAAAATGTCTTCCGTTAACACTTCACAATCCTTCGATATGATGCCTTCATTTATCACTTAACAGTTAAATATGGATGTAATGCCTCCCGTTTAACACTTAACAGCAAACCCTTTTATATAATGCCTTCATTTATCATTTAACAGTTACACCTCGATATGATGACCTTCGTTTATTACTATAAAGTATATCTTTGATTCAGTTCTATTTCCACCGCAGAGCAAACGTCTGATATAGGTGAACACCTGCTGTATACCTGTAAAACAGTTCCGCCGAGGTTCATTGCCATGAAGGACATTCCTATACCGCATCCACCATAGAATATTACTGAAAATACAAATAGGTACATTATTTATAACAGTTCGGGACAGATGACCAGACAGCGCTATATAGCTCTAGAAAATGTCACATAAAAATAATGTAAAATAACAAGATTTCATATACGTACTGTTGTATGTAATTGAAATTTAAACTTCAATATACTGAACATTTTATTTTCCTCTCGGCGAAAAAGTTATAAATGTCAAAAGTATTCTAAACTCATCGGTATTTATTTAACTTTGGATTTGTTTTTATTCATACTTAAGTAGTGTTTATCTAATTTAGTCTATGTTCGTAAATTACTGTAAGCATACATTTTTAGCGATATTTTTATTTTAGCGTTTTTCGCACATTACATTATAAGCTAAATTATTGAAGTATATTGTTCTTTATTGCGTTGTTTTCAGTGCGCTAATTTGTTAAAATTCGATAATGCGCTAAAATTTGAGTGCGCTAAAATAGGTAGGTTTACAATAAGCTAAGATTCTGTATATGCTTAAGACATATACGCCGGCCGGATCCAGTTTAGTCGAGTGACATGTAGTGGTTATATTTAACTTACCTAGACCTCTGGTGACCCAGGTTTTCTTCTCTTCTGACAAGTTATAGAAACAAGGCTTAAGGATGTCTTCCCAGGTGACAGCGGACAGAGCATTCAGGCATGAAGACATAGTACTGCACAGGTGTAAATACAAGATTCATATACAGAATAGGTGAGAAAAATACAGGTGAGAAATATTTGATGTTGACGTTTCTTCTTTTAATGTTTTCGTTTCGCGCAGTCGTATTTTGCTGTTATTTCGACATGTTGAATTATATTTGTGTTTTATTGCAAATCTCAAACATGATACTGTTTTTCAAATAATAATAGGCATATACATAAGTGAGAAAAAAAACCATTTCACTAATTTCTGACAAATTGTATATACCGCTAAATATTGAAGTTTAATTCCTAAAACGCTTTCATTTAACAATTATAAATCGTTCATTTGACTTACCCGGTTAGGTAATTATAAATACTTAAGTTACGTGGCATAAAAACGCAAAAAGGGACTTTTTATAATGTTTTAAAAATACCTTTCTAAACGACCAAACCATACCTAAGCGCCCCGCTGAATAGGCAAGCAACAAAGAGACCCGGTAGCCCAGGGTAACCAAGCTTCTCCATGACAAAGAATGGAATGATCTGAAAGAAACAGGAAATGCAATGGAATTGTCCATGATGTCAATAGCATATTTCATATAGAGAAGGGTGTTCTAAAATTATTTCATGTTTGTTTAATCAGTATATCCACAAAATAAAGTTGGAATCACGATGAATTTCTTTCGTTGTGTGTGTATATATGTGAACGCGACTGCAAAAATGGGGCCAGATGAGGTAAAATCAGAAATTGAGATTTTGATGTTTTGATAAAAATCACATTTAAACCACGTGTAGAATTTATGAAAATATGTCTCGTGACTTTGGACGTCTTTTTCTCATTATGACGTCAGCCGCATTTGTCCCTTTTTACGCAGTCGCAGTCACCTACATGTATGTCTATCACTATTGTGTGACGAGACAGCGGAAACGCAACCCGAGGGTAATATTTTCTTTTAGTATTGCACAAGACATTCCCAAATTCAAAACTTCCAAAGTTTGTTATCCCGATTATTACTCTGTCTTCACCACATATATTGTAGAAATTACTATTTATTTTTTCTCCTGTACCTGATTTGAGTTGGAAACATCCTCGTTGGAGAGTGGATCACATCCTTTCTCAGCGTAATAGGCGAATACAACGATACCCGCTAGACACGTGATCGTCACGAGGACAAATACTCCTATTATGTTCAGTAAAACAGCCCTGAAACACAAACAAACTCATTCAGTAGGGCACGGACCTGATAATCGTTGGTTCTGGGTTCAAATGCGGATGCCGTTGAAAATAGAGGTTTCCCAACGTTAGATGGTATGTGTAGCGTATTTATCTAACTCGAGTAAGTTAATTTTCTAATTACATAAAACCACAAAGTTTAACGAGTGCCATTTTACAGTTTGAAAATTAATTAATGACATAAATATAAACAGGACAACCAGCCGCACATTGTAACGAGTTCAAGACTTTTTCGTCACATAACGTTCATATCATATCTGGAATACCATACTTTCTCCGATCGTGGACATTTTTTGCAGTCCTAATTGAAGACGGTGGCGCAGCAAAGCATTGCTACAAATGTACATAACATCATCATTCAAGTATTGACCAATGAAATAACAACCAGTGTTAACCAACTTCCAGCCATTGTATCCAAAGAGTAAAGGATATTCAGACGAGTCACATGTAAATATACAGTAATACACAACACAGCACCTAACAATTACATTACCTCGGCCTCACTTTAGCTACTCATAACCTTTTATAAAGTGTATGGCCACCACTCCCGATTCCACAGATTTCTAAGCTACACTAGTAAAGTACTCTACGACCGAATACCTACATGAAGAGAGAGAGAGAAAAAAAGAGAGAAAAGCAAGAGAAATGAGCTAATATGTGACTCGACGCATCCGTGTGGCTGACGAACCACATGATTGGTTGGTTGGTTGGTTGGTTGAAGGGTTTCACAAGTACACCCACTGACGAAGTCGGTCTTCGGTAGGTAGGGTATAAATAGCACTAGGCTATTTATACCCTACCCAACAATATCCGATATATTAACCAATACAAAACAAGATTACATAACGTTTACGGAAATACTCTACAATAGCGAAAGTAACTAAACTTCCGGTCTATTACTAACGATATTGGATGAACGATAACATGAACACGATTACACAAGGTAACTTCTACACAAATATACATAATTTCTACCCATTACAAAGGTATATGGATATATACTAACGTTTTCGCTTTCTTTAGAGTCGGCAGAGCACAGTATCGCTGTACGGAGGCCTGGTTGACCCCGTACGTAGCCGTCCATCCGACCATTCCGCCTACAACCAGCGACCAGAACGAGTGTCTTTGAGTGGGGTCAGGATTGAAACTGTCAAACAAAAATCAACGGTGTTAATACTGTGTTTTTACAATTCGGTTCATACATCCCAAATGACGATAGACATTTTGTATATTTTATAAAGTAAATGAGGACAACTGCTAGCACTTTGTGCGTGTGTAACTGGAGAATAAGAGAAATGCAATGCAGGCCGAGATTCGAACTCAGGACCTCCAGAACTCTCGAGGAACGCTCTACCAATTGAGCTACCTTGTCGCCGAAGATCGACCCAGTCCAGTTCCACTACATATGTAGTGATGTTTTCAAATGAAAATATGACTGATGGAATGACAAAACAAAGCACAGCATTCCAGAAGTCTCTTTACAGAAATAGAAAGGTGAAGTTACTTTTAACTCGCCATCTTCTATCAAAATACGTGTACGAATTAATCCACAACTACAAGATGCGTGTCTGGTGTGTTAAAATCACTGTTGTCTAAACCGCAATTTAATTGCCACACACGGGTTGCCGGCCCTCCGTTTATTATTTAGTAACTGCCAATATGCACCATTTAATATGCACCATTCAATGTGCACCATTGTAACAAGAGAAAGAAAATAGCACTGCCAGACTCGGAATCGAACCCGGGACCCTCTGAATTCTAGACGGACACTCTACAATTGAGTAATTTAGCGAACGACCCGGTCTAGTTCCGCTACATGATAGTGGAACCTTCTAGTGTTTTTCTAGCTGCGGGAACCGTAGCTTCTATGTCCGATTTTTTTTTATTGTTATCGGATCTATGGTCCAATAACATTTAAAAAAAAAGGACACAGAAGCTACGGTTCCCGCAGCTAGTGTTTTTCCTGCAAAGGCACTGATGAGCCGTAAGTAAGGAAAGACAATTTTCGTGATATGAGACGCAGTTTTTGTTTTACATTTACTTACTCGAAAAACTCGATCCTGTCCCATTCTTTGTTGATATGCCATACTTTTTCCAGGCCTCCGACAGATATTGTCCCCTACCAGAAGAAAAAGACAATATATAGAATACGACAATATAAAAAAATGTAACGATATGCATGTTTAAGTCTGGAATTATTTTCATAATACAACCTCTATGTCAGTTGCATTTCATGCTTCTGTGGACCATGATGGTCTGGGTACATTCCTGAGGTGTTTGTACCAACCGAAGGGACATGCGCGTACTAAGGAAGTATTCAACGAAAATAAAAAAAATG